TTCAAATTGCAAGTTCAGTTGAATTGAAAAGTTCTCTACACTGAGGTCAAAGCCATGGCCTCTAGAGTTGATTCTAGACTTCATAGCTCCATGTCTGAACCACTGCTGGACAGTGAACTCATGGATACAAGTCTCCATGAGCTTTTTGGCCTTCCCTGACCTGGCACGCTCAGCAGTGCTGTGGACAGCAGTGTGCAGCAGTCAGATGGAGCACAGGTGATCAAGGGAACATGTGGATTTCCTGTTCTTTGAGTCTCAGCTTTCCCACTTAAAAATTGGAAGCTTGGTTGTTGAAAAATTCACAACAGCAGGTGATTCACCAGTCACAAATGAACCCCAAGTAGCAGACCTTCTAGAAACACTTCTATCAATCTTAGCAAATTGGAGTGATTTAAAGGGAGGGACTGAAGAGATGGGTCAGTGAAGAAAGCACTTGCTGGACATGTGTGAGGACCAAAGTTTGGATCCCCAGCACCCATAAAAAAGCTGGGCAAGCATAGCAACCCACCTGCAATCCCAGAGGAAGAGGAGACAGAGGGATCCCTGAGCTGAGCTAGGAATTGACATGCTCAGGGTTCAGTGAGTGGCACATCCCAGTAGATAAAGTAGAAAGTAATTGAGGAAAACACACAATGTCAGCCTCTGGCCTCCACAATGCACTTGCACACACACAGTCCCACATACATGCAAACATGAACACATAAATGCATGCACAACACACACTAACAAAAAGTGAGAAGAGCTTGGGAGATGGTTTAGTCAGTAAAGTGCTTGCCTTGCAAGTGTGACAGCCTAAGTCTGAGCCCCAGAGCCCACATTTTAAAATAAAAAGCTGGGTGTGGTAGTACGCATTTGTAATTCCAGCCCTGAGAATAGGAGACAAGCAGATTCCCAGGACTTGCTGTCCAGCCAGGCTAGTATACTTGACAAGCTCCATGTCAGTTAGAGATCCTGTCTTTTAAAAAAAAAAATGGTGGGCACAGGGCTCAGGGACCATTGTGGAAGAGGAGGTGGAAAGATAGTAAGAGCCAGGGAGAAGGTGCATGTTCATACAGAAACAGAGTCCTGCAGGCTCCTAGAACCCTTCTCATATGAACCTACAGCAATGGTGTCAGCATGCACACAACCCATGCAAACTCAAGCAGACAAAAAAACCAGCACAGAACTGTGGAAATGGACAGCAGGTCCCAATCTTAATCGAAGAACTATTGGCACTGACTACTGCTGACTGAGAAGAGCTGATCTTCTTAATGGAAGAGACTCTAGATAGGCCGACTAGGCTTCAGTGGATGAATTTGCACTGAGGGATGTCTGTGGACACTAACTTAACATGGTAGTATGGGGGGTATATGGGGGATGCCGTATGGGGAAGGGGATATAAAGTTAAGATGTTCTATATTAAATACACAGAAATTTAATTACATCTAAGTGACAACAGAAGCTGTCCTTTGGACTCCATATGTATGCACACATAGGTGCACATGCACCTGCACACACAGGAACACACATACTCACTCCAGTAAAGGACATAGTATAAAGAACTCAAGAGAGGCTCAGAAATAAACTGATAAGTATAGCAAACCAGCAGCCTCTTCCCCACCTCATGAGGACGCCAAGTGGTTTCCAAGCACTGAACTAAACCCCTGGGTCCCACTTCAAGCCCTTGTCACTGGATGAAGCTTCACTTCTCCCTTGAGAGAGATGCCTTCATTAGGATTGTCCCTAAGGAAGCATAAAGGGATCCTATATGACCTAAGTAATAAGCCAGCACTTGGAAGGAATTGGACAGGGAAAGACCAGGTGCTTCATGTTCTTATATAACTACTGGGTGCCCTTGAAGTCTGTCACCAGAGTCACTGCATCTAGTCTACACAGCATGAATCCTCATTGCAGGAAGGAGAAAACACAGATAGAGCAGACAAGTGATGGTTTCGAACCCTTCAGCTTTTATCTGGACCAAGCAGCTATCCTTGTTTCTTCTGCCACAAACCTTGGAAAAGCCTGTGGTGGTGGAGCAGGCAAGGGGAACAGGTTCTCTGGACTCCTTCACAGAAACAGGTGAAATTTATCCTACAGCCAACAGCATAAGCCACTCTGTCCTCATTCTGATCTACGTGTCTCTAAGTGCATCCCTAATGTTTCTTCTGCCAAAATGCCTCCAAAACCAGAGCTACCTAAGCTGCTTGCTTGAGTATCCCACCACCACCTCCAGTGACAGGACCACATCTGGCAAACACCTCCACCAGCCAATAACTGAACTCACAAGGGCAGGATTCCATGTCCTCTGCTCATCGAAGATACTACCATTCAACTCAGGACCCGCTGCTGAAAATCACAAGGACCACTGCGGCTGGAAGAGCATTCCAAGGGAAGCTTTGAACCTGAGGCTCTACGGAGAACCTTGGCAACTAGCAACAGCCCAGGACAGCCATCCCAAGAGCTATGAAACAAACGTGCTATCACCATACAATCAGCTTCTGGAGCAAGACCTCCTCAATAATCAGCTTTTGTCCCATATCTTCTCCCGCTCTCCACCAGACCAAATATCCACCTGCTATTCCTGAATCCCCCACTTTCAATTACCTCATCTCCTCAATCTAAAAACCACAAAACACTCTACTATGGGAGTAGGGTGTTCCCAGGAAACCACTCCCAGGACTTAAATACCTTTTGTGAACTCACTTCTAAGAAGAAAAGAAGGAAGAAAGAAAGAAAGAAAGAAAGAAAGAAAGAAAGAAAGAAAGAAAGAAAGAAAGAAAGAAAGAAAGAAAGAAAGAAAGGAGTCTCTAAACTCTCATTCCCCTGAGCTCCACATTCTTCACTTCTCCACACGAAGCTAAAATTAGAAAACGAGAGCCCCTCTCCAGAGGGCTCATAGGTGGAAGATGTCCTTGGAGAAAGAAAGGGAACAACCTCATGTTCCGCAGTTCAGGCCAAAACCAGGCCCCTCCTCCTAGCCTTAGCCTCAAACAAAGTTACCGCATACCTCTGTGGTCACAACCAGCTATGCTGTACCCCTGTGGCCTGCAAGGGAGCTCCAGATTCTCCCTCCAACATGAGGCCACCACAGAACAGAAGCCATACACCACACACCACGCCAACCTTGGCCATCCCATTTACAAGGAGAGGCCAGAGTCCTTCCTCTCCTGAATGCCTACAGCACAGAACACCAGCACCCTAGCCACCACTTGCTTTCAGAGTTGAGGTCTCCAAGTCAATATTATCAGCTCTTGGGCTGGAGAAATGGCTCAGCTGTTGAGAGCACTGGCTGCTCTTGTAGAGGATCTGGGTTCGGTTCCCAGCACCCTCAAGACAACTAACAACCGTCCATAACTACAGTTCCAGGGGAATCCAACCCCTTCTTCTGACCTCTGTGGACATTGTACAACATGGGTGTACTTAGATACATGCAGACAATACACTCACACACATAAAATAAAAGTAATAAAATATTTTTAAAAACATTATCAGCTCTTTTATTGGTAAGACTCTGCATTAGATGGTTGTTTGGGTCCATCTAGTGGAACTTCCAGCATTCCAGTCAGAGAGAGGAACATTATCTGTGAGAGTCATATCTCCAGTTTGCAGCTGCAGAGACATGCATCTTCACCACAAAGGCCCAACAAACTAATAACATTCCTGAGTGTGACCCGTTCTCCACAGAGGAAGATGGTGCTCCTAAAATTCAGATATGCTGTGTTTTGGGGCTGGAGAGATGGCTCAGCAGTTAAGAGTACTTGCTGCTCTTGCAGAGGACTGGAGTTTGGTTCCCAGAACCCAGATTGTGGCTAACACCTATCTGTAACTCTAGTTCCAAGGGACCCAACACTCTCTTCTGGCCTCCTCAGACACTGCACGCATGCAGTGCACTTACATACATTCAGGCCAAACATTCACACACATAAAATAAAAATAAATAAAAAAACAGAGCAATGTTGGGTCTTATTGTTTCAGAGCAGCTCCGATACTTATAAAGCTTTTTTTTTTGGGGGGGGGGGTCTTTTTGAGATCCCTGTAGTCTCAGCCTGCCTGGAATTTGCTATGCAGATCAGGCTGGCCTTGATCTTACGGAAATCTACCAGCCTCTGCCTCCCAAGTGCTAGGATTAAAGGCATGCACCACCATGTCCAGCTTTTTAAAGTATTTTCTAAGGGGGGACACACATGCCACAGAGAACATGTGGAAGTCAGAGGACAGCTTGCAGGAGTAGGTTCTCTCCTTCCACCATGTGAGTCCTGGAGCTCGAACTCAAGTCATCAAGTTCGATGGAAGGCACCTTTACTCACTGAGCCAGTGGCCCAAAACGCTTTCTTTTCTCATTTTTTTTAATTTAGTGGTGAGGCAGGTAGCACAGGCCTGTATGTGGCAATCAGAGGACAGCTTCTCAGGAGTTAATTCTTCCTGTCACCTTATGGGACCCAAAGATTGAACTCAGGTTGCCAATCATGAGGGCAAATGCCTCTACCCACTGGGCCTTTACCCTCTTGCCCAGTTCCTGGTATTTTTTTTTTTTTTTAAGCTAACAGCTTACTTACCCTTGATCTTGACATTACACCTCCCTGGAAGATACTGCTTAGAGTCTGGTTTTCAACCCTGACATTTTTTAAGAGGACCATGGGAAGCCCTCCCATTTTTAAACAGTTCCCTTACAGAAGCTGAAGGAAGAGGTTTCCAAGATGTGCGGAAGGATCAAAGCTCGGCTAGCTACAATGTTCCCTTCTCCTTCTGATGCTCTATGAAAACTGGCACAGACAACAGCACTACAAGTGACTGGACTGCTTCAGAATGAAGGTTCAAGAGAAGAACGAGCACTTGAAGGGCTGAGCAGAGAAAAGCAGCGTGTGAGAGAACTAGTCTGCCAGAGAGAGAAGAGAAGGGAAGGGAGGAAAAGAAGAAGAAGAGAGGTAGGGAAGGGACTGAGGAAGGCTGGTTCAGTTGGAGAGCACCGACTGTGAGGAGCCTTGGCAAGCTTGGGTGTTTCACCATGATGCTGAACTCACTTTATATGTCTGAATGTCCGGTTCAGTGTTTGCCACCTGGAAGGCACGTTGATATCACAATGTACCACCGGCTTGATCTGCAAAAGAAACCGTAGGCCTGAGTTCACTTCAGCTGAGCAAACACTGTCACTACAAACAGCAGAGACAGCACAACCCCAAAACATGAGCGAACGGGGTGGCGGGGGTGTCATAGACTACCAAGGACAGGTCCCGGGGGACTCACAGAGTGGGTATACACAGGCACGCTACAGAGTGCCAGCGGGTGCACTGCAAGGAGTGGTGAAGAACTGGAGGGGATGCACAGGGTACCAGGGATGAAGGTGACAAGGTAGAGGAAGGCGTACAGCTCACACCAAGGATGCGCCCAGTGACGCACCCAGTCAGTACGTGTTGGTGATCACAGTGCCCCCATCTCTGCTGGACAAATTACAGGGTGACAAGAGTGGGCAGGGCAGCTTCCACGTACAGACCACAGAGCACCATGGCCAGCAGGTGGGACATCTCAGCACACTCCCTGGGCCTGCTGAGCTCTTTCCAGAGATCGAATGCCCAGAGGCAAATACCATGGCCTCCTGCAGACTTCACCTCAGAATACTCAAGCAGGATAGAATTTCTGAATCCTAGCCCAGGACAACAAAAGCATCTGAGTCTTATTTTGGCCCAAGTATCATTGCTGACCACTCACAGGTCCACTCCGGAGCTCACCATCTCAGACCCACTTGTGCAACAACAAAATCAAAGAGATACTTGGCCTCTTCCCATGCCTGGCTTCTCACACCTAAACCATCAACACCTCTGTCGTTCTCAGGAGCACACCTGGGGCCCCTGGCTTCTTGCCATCCCACTGTTCCTAGCCACTCTGTGGACCCCTAGCTTCCCCATCTCATTTCCTGCTGCCCCAACCCCCTCTGTGTGGGGGAGTGTGGAGGGTATGTGCTCATGTGTGTGCAGGGACAAACACTGCTGTTTGTTGTTTTGTTTGTTTTGTTTTATTTTGTTTTGTTTTGAGATATGGTGACACCAAGTAACTCTAGCTGGCCTGGACCTTGCCTCAAAGCTCTGCTTCCCAAGTGCTGGGATTAAAGGTGTGTACCACCACACCTAGCCCAGCAGGTACATATGTATATGCATTCACGTGAAGGTCAGGAGTCAAACCTCAGGTGCCATCTACCTTGATTTTTTGGACCACCTGGGGCTTACCAATTGGTAAGACTGGCTAGAAAGCAAGTCACAGGAATCTTCCTGCCTCTGCATCCCCAGCATTTGGATTACAAGTGTGTACCACCAGGCCATTTTTTACATGAGTGCTGAACTCAGGTCCTCAGGCATGCGTGGCAAGAACTTTACTGAGTTATCTCCCTGGTTCCCCCCATCCCGTTTCTCACAGGAAACAGAGAAGCCTTTGTGGACTTCAATCAAAACAGGCTACTCTGTCGCTGCCCAACTCCTTATATTGTATGTTCCAGTTGACACTGGGGGACTCTGCCTTGTCTCTCCCCACCCCTGCCTCAGCCTCTGGCTACTTCTAGCTGTATAAAAGTCATGACGCTCCCACCCAGACCCATGCCTGGGAGATCCTGGAGGATTCCTGCATGATGATATTCCTCAGTCTCTCTCAGTCTCTCAGTCTCTCTCAGTCTCTCCCTTAGTCTCAGTCTCTCCCTCAGTCATCACTCAGACATCCTCAGTGGCTCCTCAGAGGCCTCAGCCAAGGTCTTCCACCTGTTTTGTCACAGCACTTCATATTGCCCCAGGTTTTCTTAGTTGTTTGCATTGTCCTTTAGAATACAAGCCTCCTGAGGGTAAGAAGTGGTTCAGCAGATGTCCCTGGCACAGACCGACAATCGGCATAGTGAGCAGCCCATAGGAGGGCCCTATATTATCCATGTACCTGAATGAATAGTGGATGAGGAACAGGTGCCAGGACAAGTGAATAGCTCTGCTACTGGAGAAAGGAGCCAGGACAATGGGGGTGGGAGGGGTGTACACTGAAGACACAGAAAGTCCACATGCACCTCTTGCTGCTCAGTGGTGTACTCCATATGAAATGATGCATACCTTCATGCTGACTGGGAAAAATTAATAGTGAGTATCGGCAATGAGCATGCAGTTTACAGACCTGGTCTGAAAACAAACAACAGAAGTTATCCTCTGGGAAATTCTATTCTGGTACACTCTGGGAAATTCTATTCCAGTACAGCCACCCTAAGGAACAGCTTTCTGCTTGATTGCATAAAATTACAGAAACAACGAGCTAATTGCTCTTTTGATGTGTTAATGACTCATTAACCCTGATAACACCTGTCTAATTAAATAACTACAGCTATTAAGTGCACAGTTCTGGAATTCTTGTTCCCCGTACTCCATGTAATCATGTCCTAAGAGGAGTCTAACAAATGTGACTGTCACTATTTGATGGGGATGACAGTCTCATTCACACTTGTCAGAGCCAATGAGTCATGCATCACTCATCTGCCCAAGGCTGAAGGACCCAATGGGCTGCAGACCTACTGACCAAGGTAACGGAACCAAGACTAGAGGTAAGATGAAGGCCCTAGGGGGACCACAGTGCATTTCTCACATGTGGCAGCTGCACTTGGTGAGTGCCAACTTGGTCTAAGCTCTACAATAGGTTGCATAAGATAACATAACTAATTTCCAAAACTGTGGGAGATAGCCTTGAGTCTAGGGTGATATTGCAACTGTCAGGGTCCAGGAATCCTGGCTCTGTAATCTGAAACCCAATATGCTAATGAGGCATCGTACCCTCTATTCTGTGATAGGACGTTGAGTCTGTTATGCTAATAGGATGATGCTAATAAGGTATCCTACTTGCTGTACTATAATAGGACGCTAAATCTGTTATGCTAATGAGGTATCCTACTTGCTGTGCTGTGATTGGACCACTACCCCTATATAAGCTTGTGCCTTCCTGCAATAAAGCAGGAACCTGCTGTCCTGTCACTGAACCTGGTCTCCTGTGTCTGAATGCGGCTCCACTGACACAGTCTCCTCACCAGACCTGGGGTCCGGACCAAGCAGAAGCAGCAACGACAGGAGGCAGCACAGGGCAAGCAAAAGAGCTGCCTCAGCACCAGACAAGCAGAAGAGCAGCCTCAGCCCAGGGTGAGCAGAGGAGCAGCCTCAATGCCCATGAGAACGAAGGAGTGGCCACCACTGGTGGTGATCACAGCTGGCACCCAGTGTGGGGCTCGAAAAGCCCAACCCCATGAGGCTGTAAACACTTTGGGCTCCTGATGCCCTCTTTGCCAGTGATTCTTCCGTGGGTGCTCGCCGGTTTTGTTCTGTGCTTCTTCTGGCTCACAGTCATCAGTTTGGCATATCATTCCTGTCTCTGCCCATCATCTTCCTGAATGGCTCCTGAGTCCTTTTGGGTATGTCTTGCAGGGTGAGTGACCTCCAGTATGGGGAATAGTCATCCAGCTGCTGCTGGCCTCTGTGCTGCTGCACTGGTTTCTCTCCTCAGTAGGCAAATTACAGTAATAGAGAAGGAAGTAACTAAGGTATTAGATGAAGTGCTAGCTCTTGCTCCTTGGTTTACAGATTCCTGCTGTTGGGATCTGAAGCAATGGGCTTGTGTGTTATTCATGGCCAGAAAGAGAGAAGTCAGGGAGGGGTGTCCATTATCTGGGCCGTTCTACCCCATTGTGACTGCCATTCTGGCCTCGCTTCGGGGAGTTCCCCCCGATGCCCCTGAGCAGAATAATCTCATACTAAAAAACATAGATAAACAAATAAAGCAACAGGATAGTGGGGATGGCTTGCCCCAGGCATTCCCAAAGCCTAACCCTCTTCCTAAAGCTCCCCTAATCTTTACTGATTCTAGTAAACCCAAATTTGGTTATGTAATTTACCAGGAAGGACAACTCTCCTCACATAAGGTTTTCCCTTTCCAGGGATCTGTACAGCTCAGAGAGCTCTCAGCCATGTTACAGGTCTTTCAGGATCTCCCTACAACTCCCTGTAATATTTTTTCTGACAGTGCTTATGTGATTCAGACTCTACAACATCTGACCTTTGCAGCTTTCCGGCCCCGCCAGAGTCCCCTTGATTTGTTGCTCTCCTCATTACAGCTATTACTCGAGCAGCGCTCTGCCCCTTGGCATATTCAACACTTGAGCTCTCATACCAATCTTCCGGGGCTTCTGGCAGAGAGCAGTGCCACCATTGACAAACTGGTCCTGAGCACTACCCTAGACTCCACCATAATTCAACAAGCTAGCACCCCCTATGACTGGCAAAATATTGCCCGTGCCTGTCTGCAGGGAGGTGATTTTCTCTTATGGAAGGCTGCTTATCAGGACAAATGCGAACAACAGGCAGAGCACAACAGAAATGCCAATGTTCAAAACATTGGGTTTGATGCCTTGGTAGGGCATGGCAATTTTGAAACCCCACAAGCCCAGGCACAGGGACCTCCTCGCTACTTTGAACAAGTGCGGCTTTGTGCAGTCTGTGCTCAGAGCTGTAAACATATGGTCCATGTCTGCTCCTCTTGTGCTCCTCTTCTACCTCTGGGGCCATTACAATGCACTGGGATCCTCCCTAGAGGTCTTGGCCCAAATAAGATATGGCAAATGGATGCTCCTTTTGGCAAGCTCAAATATATCCATCATATTATTGACACCTGTTAACACAGTGCAAGTCTATGGTTATGTCTTTCCAGATAATGTTCTAGCCCCCATTTAGATCCCAGCTCAAAACATCATAATTGCCTGTGATGAAAAACCTCCCTCCACAACCACTGACCCTGGAGATGGCAGCCCTGACCATGGAGGAAGCAGCGCACCTCTCAACCACCAAGAGACCAATCTCGCAGACCACAAAAGCCACCAACCTGGGGAGACCTCAAACATCTCTCTCTGCAGAGACATTAGCTAAGCTAAATCCTCAATCTAGAGGAAAACCTTTGTCTATGTTCCTTATTATTTATGTTATCAGTATTGTTAACTCTCAAGCTCTAGCAACTCTTGTTACCCCCCACTAACCCATCAACCTAACTTGACAGATTATTAATGTAGCCAATGAAAAGGAGGTAAATTCCACATAAAAACTA